ACTTTTAGTGACTGGAGAGGGAAGACGTTTCAGGAGGGCAGCTGAGTTAGCGCTCAACGAAGCAGCAATGCTTTTTATGTTAACCCATTTGAATAAATTTAAGACACATTTTGAAATTATCAATACTAGTTTAAGATTCCTCCTTCCATCCAGGCTTTGATAAAGTAAAAGCAGCCAGATTCTGCTCTCTAGAAAGAGCAAAGCTGTGGTGGGAAAGTACTGTACAGCCCTCAATTATCAGCCTGCGTCCACACCACTGCCTTTTAGACAGGGTAGTGTGTTTGAAACTGCATGGATGGATTTGGGACAGGCAAGATGAGAAAAATAGGGTTTTTTTTTTAATCACACCAAAAATGTCTCCACCTGGTTACATATGAGACTATAAAATATCACCAATTAAAAGAGCATTTCTCCCCAGGAACCCCGTTCCATAAAGGAAGTAGAAATCCACAAAGGTACTCATTACACTTAATACCTTCATTACCATCTAATTTTTTAGACCACATTATGAACTCCACCATTAAATGCAAGTACTGCAGACCAGTTTCAATTAAGATTATAATCACTTGTTGACATTCAGTCAAACTTCTCAATTTGTTTTGGTTCTAAAAACACAATATAATACTTGTACAGTCTTCAGGCAGGAAAACCATATGTTTCCCCTCTAAGTACAGTTTTAACAATGCACGTTATTCATTGAATGACCCAACCTGCCTGAAAAAAAAAATTAAGAGACAAAATTGAAACCTTCAACTTTTACGTTCATAACTGATGTTATCATAAGCGATTAGACGATTACATTACTCCAACAGTCACATTCATTTGCCTTAATTCAAAGTGCCAATGTGAAAACTTTAGTCCATCTAATTAACTTCTCCCCATTTCCCATTTAAAACTAATTATCTTAAATGAGCCATTAAACAATTCTGAATGCAATAAAAAGAGGAATGGTTGCAAAATATTAAATCAGATGAGAAGGAAATATATTGGTTTATTTCCTTATAAAATCAAATCACCTCTTCAATCGCAGAAGCGGTAACTTTGCTTTCAGCCTTTGACCTTCCAGTGTTTGAGGAATGACACTTCCATTCCCCTACAGCAGACAAGGTTCACTCTCTATGTGGAGGAACACCATTTTAGAAGACTTGGCAATTTTTTCCATTAGCTATTTAGAAATAGTCTCTGTACTTAGGCATCTCAACAAACAGAGGAACAATCATTACAGATCAACTACGTACTTTGTAAACCAGCAAAAGTTACCTGGCAAGCTGTATGACAGAGGCAGTCCTCCTGTCAGAAGATTTTTCACAGACAGGTGATTTTTTTCGGGTTTTTTTTGTTTGGGTTTGTTGTTTTTTTTTTTTAATACTGTCACCTAAACAGTTTGCTGCATTTAACTAAAATATGCATCCACTAGGCAGGTTAATGATTCATCGTAACAATTAAGTATAAATCAGCAGTAAATGCAGTAAATTAAGTTTTCAACTCCTCCATCTTCTTTCATCTCCTGATCTCTCCCTGGTTTACAGCTCAAGCTGGACTCAGATTTTCTTCCTTTCCCTGCCCCATACCTCCTTTGGAGGGAACAGACAAGTCTTCAACTCCCAATGACCAAAATCTGCATTTTCTTGTTTTATCAGAAGACAGCATACCTCCGTGAGCATTCATTCTGTGCATCTCCCCAGGAAAAGCATGCCGGGGCTCTTTGCCTACCCCAACACGGAACAGGAGACTTTGGGAAGGGAACTCAAACAAAATGTAACAAAGGAAAAGCTCCTGAAGTCCCACGGTGTAGCATTGCTACCGCTGAACTATGACCTGGCTGGCTACTGACTTCCAAGTTAATTTCTCTCACAGAAACTTGCTCTAGAAGATCCTGCAGTTTGGATGGGCAATCTAAAGTCTTAAGGGAGAAGCAGGTATCACTCATGACATAATTTCGCTAATGAAATTGGAAAATCTTCCAAATACTGAAAACAGAAATAGAATTAGTAGCTTCCTCAACCATATTGCGGGAGTAAAGCACACAGTGAGACACCCTGTCAAATTACTTCGAAAGGAAGTAAAGACTAGTACGGCTGCAACCCAGGGATTCTGCTATTAAGTAGTCAGCTACTAGGCTGCACAAAGTTGTGTTACTTTTTCCTAAACCCACATTTAAAACAAAACAAAAAAAAAACAAACCAAACAACCAAAAACACTCTAGTCATCATCTTGTGTGACAAGGACTAGGCTAGAGATCTGAAAGGCATCAGGAACAGACACAAAAGTTAACTAAATGGAAGTGTCCTAGTACTACAGAAGAAATTGTTTACTTTGAAGGAGAACAGAAAAAAAAGGCATCCCCATATGTACTACAATTAAAAGTTCATCAACACAGATCACTTAGAGGTGCTCTGCATTCTGATTAACCTTCAGCTCTGTCATGAAAAACAAAGAGTACAAGACCAGGAGTCAAATTCTGGGTTTTATACTATTCAGTTTTTATATTTTCCCTGTGACAACAAAGGAACCCTTACACCTCTTTGTGGGAAATGGCATTAAGGCAAGTACAAATTCTTATAAGTAAGATATGTAGCTAAATATTCATTCTTGAGATGCAGGTGCTCAGCATATCACCTGCTTTCTGTAAGGGACATTGCAAATAGCCTGGATGCCACTTAAATTTGGACTTGCTTCCTTGTTGGAAATTTAGGCAGCTGTGTCTTGTATGACAGTCTGCAGCTACAAGAACTAAGTTATTTTTAAATAACTGTAGAGTTTAACAGAAGCTGTGAAACAAACTGACTTCAAGACTAACTGAATGGAAATAGCTCACCACAACGATCTACTTAGCTAACACAGAAAGGTGTAAACCAAGAATAACGGGGATGCTTTCAGTAAGCATTACCCTTGGAATTTGCTGAGGCTCTGCAGTCTACAGCAGATATCTACATCAAGGTATCATATCACTTATAAAAAAAATATTCAACAAAAATCACATGAAAATTTGACAATAGTAACAAATCTTTTCATTTTGAAAAGAAAAAGGAAGCAACACCATCACTTGCATTTTGAAAACAGTGTCATTAGCACTGTTGAAACTAAGTGTGTTAAAAGTTTAGGTACTCAGCTCCTGTTCCGTAACAAATATACAATGGCTGTAATTGCATCCATTTTGTATCTCTTATTCACCCAGATACGTGCAATTCCTCAATTCAAATTGAAATTAAATCCTAGGTAGCAGTAACAGCGGAACCCCAGTTCACGTGCACGTAATGCAACTATTATTAAGTGGTCTTCCTTTTATACTACCACAAACCAAAAAGCTACAAAATATCCTGTTACCCACAGACAAATTGCTGTGAAGCCCACCTACAGCTACAGGCTCAGCAGGA